AGGACAGGACATGACCCCAAAGGACAGGACATGTCCCCAAAGGACAGGACAGGTCCCCAGAGGACTTGACATGTCCCCAAAGGACAGGATGTGTCCCCAAAGGACAGGACAGGTCCCCAGAGGACAGGATGCATCCCCAAAGGACAGGACATGACCCCAAAGGACAGGACAGGTTCCCAGAGGACTTAACATGTCCCCAAAGTTCAGGTTGTGTCCCCAAAGGACAGGACATGACCCCAGAGGACAGGACAGGTCCCCAAAGGACAGAATGTGTCCCCAAAGGACAGGACATGACCCCAAAGGACAGGACAGGTCCCCAAAGGACAGGACATGACCTCAAAGGACAGGACATGTCCCCAAAGGACAGGATGCGTCCCCAAAGGACAGGACATGACCCCAAAGGACAGGATGTGTCCCCAAAGGACAGGACATGACCCCAAAGGACAGGACAGGTCCCCAAAGGACAGGACAGGTCCCCATAGGACTTAACATGTCCCCAAAGGACAGGATGTGTCCCCAAAGGACAGGGCCTGACTCCAAATGTTAGGAGATGACCTCAAAGGACAGGACAGGTCCCCAAAGGACAGGATGTGTCCCCTAAAGGACAGGGCCTGACCCCAAAGGACAGGACAGATCCTAGGGGTCCCCAGGCTCTCAGACACGGGGTGCCCCCAGGGCTCCCCATGGCCATAAGGTGACTCTCAACACCCCATGGCCCCATCTTGCCCCAACCAACCACCGCCCCCCCAATGGCTGTGTGTGCCACAGGTGCCACAGGAGGTGGGGGGGGGGTGGTCCGTAGCCCACCTGGGTGGATCCGTAGCCACCACCAAAGTAGTTCTGCTGGGCCAACCAGCGGGCCACCGGCCCCGTCAGCTCGCTCTTCTCCATCTGCAGCAGCGCCAGCAGAGCGTAGGATGTCCCCTCGATGTTGTAGGTGTGGGCGTTGCGTTCCGCCCAGTGGGTGCCGTCTGGGTGACATTGAGGCCTCAGCGTCACCCGGAGGGGATTTGTCAGCCCTCCCCAACCTCACCTCCGTGTCCCCTAAACCCCCTTCTGGATGGACGTGGGGAACCGGTGGGATGTGGGGACATGGAGAGGGATAGAAGGACGTGGGGATTTGTAGGGATATGGGGATGTGGAGGGACATGGGGGGAGATAGAAGGATGTGGGGATATGTAGGGATATGGGGACATGGAGGGACATGGGGGGAGATAGAAGGACATGGGGATCTGCAGGGATATGGGGACATGGAGGGACATGGGGGGAGATAAAAGGACGTGGGGATCTGCAGGGATATGGGGACGTGGAGGGACATGGGGGGAGATAGAAGGACATGGGGACATAGAAGGACATGGGGACGTGGAGGGACATGGAGAGGGATAGAAGAAGGACATGAGGACATAGAAGGATGTGGGGCTCTGTAGGGACATGGGGACCTAGTGGGACATGGGAACATGGAGAGAGAGAGAAGGACATGAGGACACGGAAGGACGTGGGGACATGGAGGGACATGGGGGGGGGTACATGGGGGGACATGAGGGGACGTGGGGATATGAAGGGACATGGGGATGTGTGGGTCCGTGGGGATACGGAGGGACATGGGGATCAGTAGGGACATGGGGGAACACGGGGGGGGACACGGGAGGACATGGGGGGGTACATAGGGGGACATGAGGGGACGTGGGGCTTCGTCACCCCCAGCACCTGACCTCACTTCTTCCCCCTGCCCCGGATTTGTTCCCCTTTCACCTTTGGAGAACTTCATCAGAACTTTCTCGCTGTTGAGTTTCCCCGTTAGGGCCAGGGCGTAAGAAGTCAGGGCCACCGTGTAGGGCCGAGCCAGGGCTTGGTATTTCCGGGACAGGTAATCGGAGGCTTTGGAGATGCTCCCATCCAAGCTCTGAACGGAAAGGACGACGACGCGGGTTCTCAGGTGGCTGCTATAGGGGTTGGGCGCCCCTCCTCCCCCCAGCCCCCACGCATTGCTGAGCCCCGGGTCATGGAATCACAGAGCTGTAGGGCTTGGAAGGGACCTTCCAACCCCTCTCTTCAATATCTTGATTGATGGCCTGGATGAGGGCATCGAGTGCAGCCTCGGTACATTCGCAGATGGCACCAAATGGGCTGGAAGTGTGGATCTGCCTGCGGGTGGCGAGGCCCTGCAGAGGGATCTGGCCAGGCTGGAGAGCTGGGCTGAAGCCCATGGGATGAGGTTCAACAAGGCCAAATGCCGGGTCCTGCACTTGGGCTGCAACAACCCCAGGCGACGCTGCAGGCTTGGGGCGGTGTGGCTGGAGGACGGCGGTGAGGAAATGGAGCTGGGGGTATGGATGGATGCTGGGCTGAACGGGAGACAGCAGTGTGCCCAGGTGGCCAAGAAGGGCAAGGGCAGCCTGGCCTGCATCAGAAACAGCGCTGCCAGCAGGAGCAGAGAGGTGATTGTGCCCCTGTACTCAGCTCTAGTAAGGCTGCACCTCGAGTGCTGTGTCCAGTTTTGGGCCCCTCACTGCAAGAAAGACATGGAGGCCCTGGAACGTGTTCAAAGGAGGGCAATGAAATGGTGAGGGGTCTGGAGCACAGGGCTGATGAGGAGAGGCTGAAGGAGCTGGGAATGTTCAGCCTGGAGAAGAGGAGCTCAGGGCAGAGCTCACTGCTCCCTATGGCTGCCTGAAGGGAGGCTGCAGTGAGCTGGGGGTCGGCCTCTGCTCTCGTGTCATCAGGGATAGGAGCAGAGGGAACGGCTTCAAGCTACGGCAGGGGAGATTCAGGCTGGACATGAGGAAGAATTGCTGTTCAGAAAGGGTGGTCAGGCACTGGAATGGATGCACAGGGAGGTGGGGGAGGCACCGAGCCTGGGGGTGTTGAAGGAAAGGCTGGATGTTGTGTTGAGGGACGTGGTTCAGTGGGAGCTGTTGGTAAGAGGTGAGCGGTTGGACTGGAGGAGCTTTGAGGTCTGTTCCAACCCTGGGGATTCTATGATTCTGTGTGTCCCTATGGCATCCTCATGTGTCCCTATGACGTCCCCATGTGTCCCTATGGTGTCCTCATGTGTCCCTATGGTGTCCCCATGTGTCCCTATGGCATCCTCATGTGTCCCTATGGCATCCCCATGTGTCCCTATGGAGTCCCCATGTGTCCCTATGGCACCCTCATGTGTCCCTATGGAGTCCCCATGTGTCCCTATGAGTCCCCATGTGTCCCTATGGCATCCTCACATGTCCCTATGGAGTCCCCATGTGTCCCTATGAGTCCCCATGTTGTTGTATTGAGGGACGTGGTTCAGTGGGAGCTGTTGGTAAGAGGTGAGCGGTTGGACTGGATGAGCTTTGAGGTCTGTTCCAACCTTGGTGATTCTATGATTCTATGGTTCTATGATTCTATGACCTCCAGCGATCATCGAGTCCAACCCCCCCCCCGCCAAAGCAGGTTCCGGGTCGCTTTGCTCACTTTCACGTAGTTCTTGCAGATCTTCTGGGATTCCTGCAGCGCAGAGAGGACGAAGGCGGTCAGGGACACGCTGGGCTCTGCGCCGTGGTAACCTCCCTGCGGAAGGAGGAGCAAAACCTCGGATTCTGTGGGTCTCACAGCAAGCTGTGTCCACCCCACACTTGACCCTGTCACCCAGAGGAGCTTTTTTTCCCCCCATGGTTGCCCATCCTTGAGCCAACGGGTCTCGATCACAAATAGGGACGGTGCTTCGGGTCTCCCCCCCATACCACCATCTCCTTATGGATGACGGGGGCGTCTTCTTGGAAAAGCCCGTCTGGTTTCTGCTTCTCCAGAATGAGCCATTTGATGGCTCCGCAGACCACCTCTGG